AGTCCTCCTCCTTCCCAAGTTTTGTACGTCCTTGACTTGTATTACTAAAGCCTTTACCCCTCCTACAATTCTGAAAAGCCTCTTCCTTGAGCACTTTTCTTTGCACTCCCACTCTATTTCCATCTTCACCGATGGGTCTAAGTCTGCGGACGGTGTGGGCTATTCTGTTGTTTTTCCTGACCGTACTTATATGTGTCGCCTCCCTTCGGAGGCTAGCATCTTTACTTTATGCTATTCTCTATGCTCTCCGTCTCTTGCTTTCTCATTATCATTCCTCCTTTGTGGTTGTAGTTGACTCTCGTAGTGCCCTCATGGCTCTAGGGTCCTTTAATCCTGTCCATCTGGTGGTCATCGAGATTCAACATTGGCTGTTTCTTATTTCTAGTAAATTTAAATCAGTAGAGTTTTGCTGGGTTCCCAGACATATTGGTGTTTCTTTCAATGAACGTGCGGATGCTGCCTCTAAGGAAGCTATCCATTCTTGTCCCATCTCTTGTAAAGGTATTCCTTATTCCGACTTTTATCCTGTTATTCATTCCTCCATCCTTGCCCGTTGGCAGGGTTGTTGGTCCTCTGTAGTTAGTAACAAGCTGCGTATTCTCAAACGTAGTGTGTCCCCGTGGCCTTCCTCCTACCACTGTAACCGGCGGTGGGAAACTGCTTTGGCACAGCTGCGGGTTGGCCATACTCGCTTAACCCACGGTCACTTAATAGAGCGCCGCCTTGCTCCTTATTGTCCGAATTGCGTTGTCAAGGAAGTTGTGCAGTTGTGCACACTTACAGTCGTGCATATCCTTGTTGAATGTCCTGACTTCCAGGACGAGTGTGTGTCTTGCTTTCCGACCATCCCTCACGGTCACTTGTCCCTCGATAGAATTCTAGGTGACTCGGATACTTTTGATATCGTTTGCCTTATGCGTTTTTGTTCTCGTATTGGCATTCTTGGAGATATTTAGCCCCCTCTGATTATTTCGCACTTTGATGGTGCTACATAGCCTTCCCGGTTTGGTGCCTTCTTTTGATAATTATCTTACCTTCTGGTGAGCCCACTCATGTGGACTCTCAAACTCGCACCCTTTCCTGTCTTGATCTTTCTCTCTGCTCGTCGTCCCTTTACTTAGATTTCACGTGGCAGGTTCTTGATGACCTTCATAACAGTGATCATTTCCCCATCCTCGTTTCCTTTTTCTCTTTCCACCCTCCTCTCTCCTTCCCTAGGTGGCAGTTTGCCAAGGCTGACTGGAGCCTATTCACCCTCCGTGCAACCCGTTCTCGCAAATTTAATAAGTCAATATTGACTTAATAAATATGTGCATAGGTGACATACTTAACATAATAGTTTCCCTTGAAAATCTTCATAGAAAACACCGACCTTACCTAACCTACTTAGTATGTTAAGATAAGCATCTTATTACTTCGTAATTACAATTATTACCTAACCTATAACTATAATAGGATAAGTAACAATTGTAATTACGAAGCTATAAGATGCTTATTTTAACATACTAAGTAGGTTAGGTAAGGTCGGTGTTTTCTATGAAGCTTTTCAAGGGAAACTATTATGTTTAGTATGTCACCTATGCACGCAACTAATAAGTCAATATTGACATATTAAATTTGCGAGAACGGGTTGCTCCGTGCTACTCTCTCTGACCTCTCCTCTCTGCCTCTTCCTCGCGCCCTCCTTTTTTTTTATGACACTGTCTTCAACGCTGCCCTCTGCTCTATTCCTCGCTGTTCCTCCCGGGGCACATGGAAGTGCGTTCCCTGGTGGAATGCGGACTGTGCTCAGGTTGTCTGCTGTAAGCGTGCAGCCTGGAAGAAACACCGCCGCCGGCAGACGGCTGATTCTTTTATTTTGTTTCGGAAGGCAAGTGCGATGGCCCGTAGGTCCATCTGTACTGCTAAACATGAGAGCTGGAATTCTTTTGTTTCCACCATTACGTCCGATACTCCCCTGCCACAGATCTGGAAGAAAATCCGCAAGATTGCGGGCAAGTTCGCTCCAGATGTCTTGCCGGTTCTCCACCTCTGTAGTACTCTTGTGGCGGATCCAGTGAAGGTCGCGACCGGACTGGGTTCCCACTTTTCTTCTGTTAGCTCTGATTCTCATCTTCCTCAATCCTTCCTTCTTCATAAGCCTGTTCTTGAATCTTATCCTTTATATTTCCACACTCATCTCCGACTTCCCTATAACGATCCTTTCTCTCATTCTGAACTTCAGTCTGCCCTGGCCCTCTGCGGATCTACGGCAGCGGGCTCGGATGACGTTCATTATGAGATGCTTCGCCATCTCCCTCCGTGCTCGTCTCAGTATTTACTGAGTCTGTATAACCAGGTCTGGGAGTCGTCGTCCGTCCCTGAGGACTGGCTCGATGCTGCAGACCCTATTCGGAAGCCAGGGTCTCTCGGTACGTCCCCTAAGGACTTCCGCCCTATAGCTCTCATGAGTTGTGTTTGCAAGCTGTTTGAGCGTATGGTCAATGTCCGTCTGATGTGGTTCTTGGAACACCATCACCACTTCTCTCCTTCTCAATTTGGTTTTCGCAAGTGCCGCAGCACGACAGATGTCCTGGTGAACTTGGAGGTCTATATTCGTACTGCTTTTGCTGCGAAGACCTCCGTTGTTGCTGTCCTTTTTTACTTGGAAAAGGCTTATGACACGACTTGGAGATAGCATATTCTGCCCCAACTTCGTTCTTTTGACCTTCGTGGTAATCTCTCTTCCTTCAAAGCTTTCTCTCTCGTACCTTTCGAGTCAGGCTTAGTGCCACTCTCTCTGCCTCTGTTCGGCAGTATTGAAGGTGTGCCCCAAGGTAGTGTTCTGAGTACTACTCTTTTTCTGGTTGCCCTCAATGGTCTTCTTTCCTCCCTTCCTTCTGGCATCTTCTCCGCTCTTTATGTTGACGATCTTACTCTTTGCTGTCGGGGTGATGATTCGCCTCTCCTTCAACGGCGGCTTCAACTTGCGATTGATGCCGTGTCATCTTGGGCCACCAATCATGGCTTCAAGTTCTCTACTACTAAGACTTGTGCCATGACTTTTACTCGGAAGCGGGTCGTTCTTCGTCCCTCTTTGTCACTTTATGGTCATCCCCTTGAGTACAAAGATTCCACGAAGCTTTTGGGGTTATTCTTTGACACTCGTTTGTCTTGGTCGCCCCATGTCTCTTACCTCCGTGTTGAATGCTCTAAGGCCCTTAACCTACTTAAGGTTTTGTCCCATACTTCTTGGGGAGCGGATAGACGCACGCTCCTCTATTTGCATTCCTCTCTCGTCCTGTCTAAACTCGATTATGGTTGCCCTGCATACTCTTCTGCTTCTCCTTCTACTCTTCGCCGTCTTGATCCTTTGCACCATACTGGGTTGCGCCTCAGCTCTGGTGCTTTTCGTTCAACTCCTACCCTCAGCTTGTACGCTGACACTGGCTTTCTGTCTCTCCAGGACCGCCGTGATCGCTACAGTCTTCGCTATCTTGTGCGATCCTTACAGCATCCTCACTCTCGCCTCTATCGTGCTTTGACTTTTACCCCTCCTGTAGTTCCTGTTCCTCTTCACCACCTTCCTCTTTCTGTCCGTTTGTCTCGCTTACAAGATTCTCTTTCGGTTCGTATTACCAATGTTTCTCCTCGTATTGTTCCCTCCTTGCCCCCGTGGAGGGTCCCCCTTCCCAAATTTTGTACTTCTCTGACCCGCATCACTAAAGCTTTTACCCCTCCTACAGTTCTGAAACGCCTCTTCCTTGAGCACTTTTCTTCTCACTCCCACTCCGTTCCCATCTTCACCGATGGGTCTAAGTCTGCTGATGGTGTGGGCTACTCTGTTGTTTTTCCTGACCACACTTATATGTGTCGCCTTCCTCCGGAGGCTAGCATCTTCACAGCATAACTTTATGCTATTCTCTATGCTCTTCGTCTCCTGCGTTCCCGGTGTCAATCCTCCTTCATGGTGATAGTTGACTCTCGTAGTGCCCTCATGGCTTTAGGGTCCTTTAATCCGGTCCACCCGGTGGTCATCGAGATTCAACATTGGTTGTTTCTTATCTCCTGTAAATTTAAGTCGGTTGCGTTTTGCCTGGTTCCCAGCCATGTTGGTGTCTCTTTAAATGAGCATGCGGATGCTGCCGCTACGGAAGCTATCCGCACTTGTCCCATCTCCCGTAAAGGTATTCCTTATTCCGACTTTTACCCAGTTATTCATGCCTCCATCCTTGCTCGCTGGCAGAGTTGTTGGTCTTCTGTTATTGGTAACAAACTGCATACTCTTAAGAGTCGTGTGTCCAAGTGGCCTTCCTCCTGCCACCGTAACCGGGGGTGGGAAACGGCTCTGGCTAGGTTACGTATTGGCCATACCCGTTTAACTCACGGTCACTTACTGGAGCGCTGCCCTGCTCCTTATTATCCAAATTGCATTGTCCCTCTTACGGTCGTGCATATCCTTGTTGAATGTCCTGACTTCCAGGACGAGCGTGTGTCTTGTTTTCCGACCGTCCCCCGCGGTCACTTGTCCCTCGATAGAAATTTTGGCGACTCTGATACTTTTGATATCGTTCGCCTTATGCGTTTCTGTTCTCGTATTGGCATCCTTGGTGATATTTAGCGCCCTCTGATTATCCTGCACATTTGATGGTGCTACATAGCTTTCCCGGTTTGGTGCCTTCTTTTGATAATTACTTACTTACATGATAATGGTCCACGACGGACTGAAACGTCGTCGTTTGTCCATCTTCTGGTGCGTGGTCATCATACCAGGCGCCTCTTGGCGGCACAGTCAAAATTTTTCTGCTTTTCAAAATTTTATCTCACAGTTGTATCAGTCTCTGTAGTCAGTGCGTTGATTTAGTTTGACAAGTCTTGAATGTGATCTTTCAGAAGTAACTGGTTTAACAATGTCCTGCCGTTTCCAATAAAGATGTTGCACTGATAAATTTGCATTAAAATGTATGCGCTAAGAATTACATACCAAGCAATAAGTATTCGGTAAAAAAAAATTGCCAATCTGGTGTTAAAAATCTTTATTGCTCAATAATCTACGTTAAAAATATTTTCCAAAACAGACGCAATTTATATTATTTTTCCTGCCGTCCAATAAATTAGCGGTGTCCATACTCCGTTACAAAGAAGGCAATACAATATGCAGCCATACCCAGTATATTATCATAAGATTTAGATTTACTTATAACCCAAGCCAAATGACTAAAATGCCTGCATTGCTGTCATTGAACAAAAAAGGCTCGGTTGATTCCACAAAATAGTTAAATCTTCATACCTGACTATTTACATTAGACTGAACTAATAAATTGCAACAAAACTTTCTGTACATAATGTATGCCTGGCAGGATCATTTACACATTAATTATTATTAACAATTTCGTAAAATTTTAATACATTTGTACAGTCATAATAAATACTGTACAGTGTGTGTGTGTGTGTTTCATGTTACAAGAGCTGCCTCGACGAGCAAGGGAAGGAATACGTTCTTTTGATACGTTCAACAATAACAATTGTGAAGCTTTAATAGGAAGTACTCTTATTTACAAAACCTCTGTTTTTGGAGTGAATAGTTTGTGGAGTTGAGGAGTTCACCTTACTGGGGAAGGGAAGTCACTAGTCCTTCAGTAGTTCAAAGTGAACCAGACCGAGATGTTCCTTCTGATTGTGCTGTATATTCTTGGCCCAAGCACGGCACTCGATGCTGATGAGAAGATTGGCTGTAAAGTAAGCAGTGTATCAGATGACGTGACGCCATACCTCACTACACTCAAATTAAACTGGCAGTGAAAAAACTGCCAATTTTAGGAGGTGACTTCAATATTGACATTTTCAACAAGAGAGCCTCCAAACCGACTACTTAACTGCATGAACTCCTGTTTACTAATTTCACAATCACCAATCCCACCTGAATCACAAACATCCCCTACATCATCAGACAATATCTGGACTAACATAACTGCTGCTCTTTCTTTTGGTATAATCACTGACAGAACAACTGACTACTGTCCTACCTTCCTCATAACAAACAGACATAATGCCATCGGATACAAAGAAATTAACCAGGAGCTACACAGGAAAGCAGCAATAGACAATCCTCATAAATGCACAAATAAATTGAGATTCTGAATTCAATAATACACATAAATTCCTTAGCTGACATTATCCTCACCAAAGCTCTGAGCCTCCATAACACACAGTCCTCTTCTCACCAAGCAAGTAACTTTAGTAACTGCCAAAAGATTAAGCAACACTGGCTCTCACAAGTGGCATACTCAAAGCAATTTACAAGAAACATGAATATAAAATATAACATAGGAATGGCCTAGTTACAAAAAACATAATTAAGAGATACTCATTAATGCTTACCTGTATAATAAGATGATGTAAACTTTCATTTTATTAGAGTAGATTCAAAGTAGCAAAACGGAACATGGAAAGCCATCTCTACCGTCCTAGCATCTAAACAACAATCACATAACAACCAGGTAAAACTCCTATGATGGTCACACTTAAAACAGACTTAGAAAAAACTAAATTTAACAGTTTTTCATAAATTGGTGCTAACCTTGCCAGAAGCATCCCAGAGACCCAGACACATGTTACCACATATCTCACAGGCAGCTGTCCTAACACTTCTCGTTTCACCAGTCAGCCTGACAGATGTTGTTCATTATTCACTCACTAAAAACCATAGCTGAGAACACAGTGAAATACCATCCATGGTATACAAGAGTGCTTCACATGCCCATGCTTCACCCACAGCTATGCTGTTCAACAAATCTCTAGTGTGTCATACCTTCCCTGATATCCTTAAAAAAGCAAGAGTAACGCCAGCTCATGAAGGAGACGATCCAGTTGACATGAACAAATAGAGACCAATATCAAATCTACCTATATTATCAAATATTAGAAAAAAATTACAAACAGCTTTACTCTTACCTTGTAAAATTCAACATGTTAAGTTTGGTTTCCAATCCCCCAAAAGTACCAAAGATACATTATTAGTTTTGTTGATGCGTGTGATCTACTCAGCCCTTGACAAAAATGAGTACTCAGTTAGCCTATTCATTGACCTGAGAAAGGTCTTTGATACTGTTAACCCCAACTACCTCGTACTTCACCATTATGGAATCGAAGCCTTGCCCTGAAGTATATTCGTTCCCATCTCAGAGACAGACACCAATATGTAGTCATCAATGACATATCCTCCCCTACTCTACCACTGACAGTAGGGGTGCTACAGGGCAGCATCTTAGGACCACTCCTATTTATGTACATCTATGACTTGCCAAATGTGTCTAACGTTCTTAAACCTTATACTATTTGCTGACGATACTACCTTCATGTATTCAAATCCTAATTCCTCACACACTAAATAATATTGTAAGTACCGAATTAAAAAAAAAAGCCCACTCATGGACGTCAGCCAACTTACACTAAGCATAGAAAAGACTTACTACATTTTATTTGGAAGTAAATCATCAAACCAAATTTCCCTTCATACATTGTTAACATAAACAATACAAATGATGGAAAGTTCCTTGGCCTATACATAGACAAGAGAGACAACTTCAGCACCCACTTACAACACATAGTCAAAAAAGTTTCAAAAACTGCCGGTATACTTTCTAAAATCATATATTATGTTCCCCACTCTGCTCTCCTCTCATTATATTCCACGATCCCTATCTTACATGTGGTATCTGTGCATGGGGTTTAACCACGGGAAATTACCTCAATCTTATCATCACCCAGAAAAATCTGTTGTCAGAACAATAACAAACTTTGTCTTCAGACAACACACAGTCCTTCTGTTTAAGTTCCTTAACATGCTAAACATACACTCCACACACTCTCATGTGCTATCTACATGTACAAAACCTTGTTCCTAAATGCTAACCTTGATCTGAAACTATTCCTTGATAAGTGTAATAAAACCCATTAGCACCTCACCAGAAATAAATTTCTTTGATATCCCCAGAATCAAACTTAATCTGTGCAAACACTGCAAGCAAATAAAAGGACCCAGTCAATGGAACTCGCTCCGTAATGAATTAAAAACAAATCCAACCTATGCTTTTTCTCAAAAGTAAAACCAAAAATGTCATCCTCAGAGCTTCTCACCTTGTGCTAGTAACTCACACAAGACAGAAATGTGTTTCACTCTCACCCCCTCCCTCCCTCCCTCCACAGTGTCGCCTTGTGGTGGTTATCTTGAGATGATTTCGGGGCTTTAGTGTCCCCGCGGCCTGGTCCTCGACTAGGCCTCCACCCCCAGGAAGCAGCCCGTGACAGCTGACTAACACCCAGGTACCTATTTTACTGCTAGGTAACAGGGGCATAGGGTGAAAGAAACTCTGCCCATTGTTTCTCGCCGGCGCCCGGGATCGAACCCGGGACCACAGGATCACAAGTCCAGCGTGCTGTCCGCTCGGCCGACCGGCTCCCTAAGGGGCTCACGTACACCTCCCTGGAACCAGTGAGGGTTGTCATCGCCCCCCCCTTCCCTCCCTCCTGCCCCTCTTTGGGTGTTGTACGTGCAGGAGGGCACCACCATGCAGAAGGGCACCACCGTAGAGTCCGTTTGGGTCATCGGACCACCTGCTGGAGGTGTTGTCCATGAGGGGCTGCCCTAAGTGGATAGTTGGGTGTCCAGGCTGAGGCAAAAGGGAGAATGAGGTTTTTGCATCAGTGTAGGTGAATGGACAAAGCAATACGACTCCCTTGTTAAAAAAGGGGGAGCACTGCGGGGGACGACGCACCCTTCCTGCACTGTCCCACACTTGGCCTTCCTGGCTGCCCTGGTAGGTGGTATCCTTTGGTTCCAGGTTCCAGACTTTCAGAAATGATGTGTGCATGGAAACTGAACTGGCCGCTATTATCCAGGCTCGTGGGGTAGGCGACCAGGCCCCTGAGTCAGACTGGGATGGAAGAGCGGGCTCTGAGGCGAGGCGCCAAGTCCACCATTTCTCCTCTTTCGCTGGCGTATCTTATGCTTTGTGTGTTGCATTCCACCTCTCCTCGCCCTTCCCTCCTTTTTCAGTCTCGCAATCGTTTCTAGGCCTCAGACCCGGACACGCCCACCGCCTCCTCCCCTGTTCCTTCATGTTCTGAACCAAAAGATCCTCCTCCTGGTTCACCATCTGGTGTTTCCCTCATTCCTTCCCAGTCTGCCATGTCTCCTGTGTCTCTTTTTTTCCCATCTCCTCCCGATCCTTCTTCCCAACCCTCCCTCCTGTCTCTTGCCCTCCATGCCGCCTGTCTGTCAGACTGTTGTCCATCTTCCTCCCAGCAATCTTCATGTTCACTTTCATTCTTCTTCTTCTGTTGAGACAATAGAGATTGTTGCCCAGTATGTTGCTGCTGGCACACCTGTCTCTTGAAGTCTGAAACGTACGCCTGGCTCCTCTCCTCCTTGCTCCCCGGCAGGTAAGAAGGCATCGCTTTCTTCTCCTCCCTCCATCTCTGACTCAATCACTGTATCCCCTCCCATTCCGGTGGTTGGACCCCTGTCCCAGCTGTGGAGGTTCCTTTCGCCCTCGATTCTCTAGGTTGCTGCCCTTGATGAGGTGAGCTTCCCTGCGTTCCTGTCCACCCGCTTCTGATCTGTACTTCTGTTCCCTTAATTCCATCATCTTTGCTAAATTTAATCATGCCCCCTAACCCTAATTTCACTGATCCTGATCCTATTCCTTGTCTTGATCATCTTTAGTATGCTGCGTTCTTCTTTGCCTTTGTTTCTTCATTGTTATTTGTTGATGTTCTCTCTCCTTTTATTCCGACTTTTACCCAGTTTTTCATTCCTCTGTCCTTGCCGTTGGCAGCGTTGTTGGCCTTCTGTTACTGGTAACAAACTTCGTGCTCTTAACCCTGCTCCTTATTGTCCGAACTGCACTGTCCCTCTTATGGTCGTGCATATCCTTGTTCAATGTCCTGACTTCCAGGACCAATGTTCTGCAAGTCAGGACGGAAGTCAGGATACTTACAAGCAGGAGAGTCATAGTGAGCGGGTGCTGGCATACTTATAAGCAGGAGTGTGTCACAGTGAGCGGGTGCTGGCATACTTACAAGCAGGAGTGTCATAGTGAGCGGGTGCTGGCATACTTACAAGCAGGAGTGTCATAGTGAGCGGGTGCTGGCATACTTACAAGCAGGAGTGTCATAGTGAGCGGGTGCTGGCATACTTACAAGCAGGAGAGTCATAGTGAGCGGGTGCTGGCATACTTACAAGCAGGAGAGTCATAGTGAGCGGGTGCTGGCATACTTACAAGCAGGAGAGTCAGAGTGAGCGGGTGCTGGCATACTTACAAGCAGGAGAGTCATAGTGAGCGGGTGCTGGCATACTTACAAGCAGGAGAGTGTCATAGTGAGCGGGTGCTGGCATACTTACAAGCAGGAGAGTCATAGTGAGCGGGTGCTGGCATACTTACAAGCAGGAGAGTCAGAGTGAGCGGGTGCTGGCATACTTACAAGCAGGAGAGTCATAGTGAGCGGGTGCTGGCATACTTACAAGCAGGAGAGTCATAGTGAGCGGGTGCTGGCATACTTACAAGCAGGAGAGTCATAGTGAGCGGGTGCTGGCATACTTACAAGCAGGAGAGTCACAGTGAGCGGGTGCTGGCATACTTACAAGCAGGAGAGTCATAGTGAGCGGGTGCTGGCATACTTACAAGCAGGAGAGTCAGAGTGAGCGGGTGCTGGCATACTTACAAGCAGGAGAGTCATAGTGAGCGGGTGCTGGCATACTTACAAGCAGGAGAGTGTCATAGTGAGCGGGTGCTGGCATACTTACAAGCAGGAGAGTCATAGTGAGCGGGTGCTGGCATACTTACAAGCAGGAGAGTCAGAGTGAGCGGGTGCTGGCATACTTACAAGCAGGAGAGTCATAGTGAGCGGGTGCTGGCATACTTACAAGCAGGAGAGTCATAGTGAGCGGGTGCTGGCATACTTACAAGCAGGAGAGTCATAGTGAGCGGGTGCTGGCATACTTACAAGCAGGAGAGTCAGAGTGAGCGGGTGCTGGCATACTTACAAGCAGGAGAGTCATAGTGAGCGGGTGCTGGCATACTTACAAGCAGGAGAGTGTCATAGTGAGCGGGTGCTGGCATACTTACAAGCAGGAGAGTCATAGTGAGCGGGTGCTGGCATACTTACAAGCAGGAGAGTCAGAGTGAGCGGGTGCTGGCATACTTACAAGCAGGAGAGTCATAGTGAGCGGGTGCTGGCATACTTACAAGCAGGAGAGTCATAGTGAGCGGGTGCTGGCATACTTACAAGCAGGAGAGTCATAGTGAGCGGGTGCTGGCATACTTACAAGCAGGAGAGTCACAGTGAGCGGGTGCTGGCATACTTACAAGCAGGAGAGTCACAGTGAGCGGGTGCTGGCATACTTACAAGCAGGAGAGTCAGAGTGAGCGGGTGCTGGCATACTTACAAGCAGGAGAGTGTCATAGTGAGCGGGTGCTGGCATACTTACAAGCAGGAGAGTCATAGTGAGCGGGTGCTGGCATACTTACAAGCAGGAGAGTCATAGTGAGCGGGTGCTGGCATACTTACAAGCAGGAGAGTCAGAGTGAGCGGGTGCTGGCATACTTACAAGCAGGAGAGTCATAGTGAGCGGGTGCTGGCATACTTACAAGCAGGAGAGTGTCATAGTGAGCGGGTGCTGGCATACTTACAAGCAGGAGAGTCATAGTGAGCGGGTGCTGGCATACTTACAAGCAGGAGAGTGTCACAGTGAGCGGGTGCTGGCATACTTACAAGCAGGAGAGTCAAACTGGACAGCGATGAGGGGTGAGAGGTAGCCTGGCGTGTGCATGTAGGGGAAGTAATAAGCGGGGAACCCTTGCCAGGGAGAGTAGCGGATGGGGCCGAGGTACTCCTGGTCGGCGGGGTTCTCGCCCTCACACGACACCCAGATCATCTGTTCCCGGAGGTCAACTTTAGTTTCAAAAGGTTTAACGAGATGTGTACTAGTGTTAATTGCTAATATTAAATGGATATCAAAATACCATCAACAGTATTCAAAATTAATTATATTTTTAAATCTAGATAGAAAATAAATACATTTCTACAAACATTAGACGATACAATCCGTCCTCCTAATACAACGTCGAATTTTGACGTATATGCTCTCCCTAAGGCCAAAATTTGTCGTACTAGAAAATGGAAGCGGCTCGCGAAGATGACATACTGTCCCGTTTTCTGTTTTGGGTCCTCTGGTAAGTTAGGATAAGGGCACCTTAGTACGACAGTTTCTTGACGTTGGGGAACGTTAGGAGGACGAGCACCCATATTTGGAGTAGGAGAGAACAGAGCGTTAAGAACTTCCCATCGCAGGACCTTCCCGTCACAGGACCTTCCCGTCACACGAGCTTCCCGTCACAGGGACTTCCCGTTACAGGACCTTCCTGTCACAGGACCTTCCCGTCACAGGACCTTCCCGTCACAGGAACTTCCCGTTACAGGACCTTCCCGTCACAGGACCTTCCCGTCACAGGACCTTCCCGTCACAGGACCTTCCCGTCACACGAGCTTCCTGTCACAGGACCTTCCCGTTACAGGACCTTCCCGTCACAGGAACTTCCCGCCACAGGACCTTCCCGCCATAGGACCTTCCCGTCACAGGACCTTCCCGTCACAGGACCTTCCCGCCATAGGACCTTCCCGTCACAGGACCTTCCTGTCACAGGACCTTCCTGTCACAGGACCTTCCCGTCACAGGACCTTCCCGTCACAGGGACTTCCCGTTACAGGACCTTCCCGTCACAGGACCTTCCCGTCACAGGATCTTCCCGTCACAGGAACTTCCCGTTACAGGACCTTCCCGTCACAGGACCTTCCCGTCACAGGACCTTCCCGTCATAGGACCTTACCGTCACAGGACCTTCCCGTCACACGAGCTTCCCGTCACAGGACCTTCCCGTCACAGGGACTTCCCGTTACAGGACCTTCCCGTCACAGGACCTTCCCGTCACAGGACCTTCCCGTCACAGGACCTTCCCGTCACAGGACCTTCCCGTCACAGGACCTTCCTGTCACAGGACCTTCCCGTCACAGGACCTTCCCGTCACAGTTCATCCAGCGGTTGTCGAGATCCAGCATTGGCTGTTTCTTGATCACAGTAAATTTAAGTCGGTTGAGTTTTGTTGGGTTCCCAGTCATATTGGTGTGTCTTTAAATGAGCGTGCGGATGCTGCCGCCAGGGAAGCTGTCCGCTCTTGTCCCATCTCTCGTAAAGGTATTCCTTATTCCGACTTTTACCCGGTTTACCTCCATCCTTACCCGTTGGCAGGCTTGTTGGTCTTCTGTTACTGGTAACAAACTACGTACTCTTAAAAGTTGTGTGTCCTCGTGGCCGTCCTCCTGCCACCGTAACCGGCGATGGGAAACGGCTCTGGCGAGGTTGCGTAGTGGCCATAAACGCTTAACTCATGGTCACTTGATGGAGCGCCGCCCTGCTCCTTATTGTCCTAATTGCATTGTTCCTCTTACGGTCGTGCATATCCTTGTTGAATGTCCTGACTTCCAGGACAAGCGTGTGTCTTGTTTTCTGACCATCCCCCCGCGGTCGCTTGTCCCTCGATAGAATTCTTGGTGACTTGCATACTTTTGATATCGTTCGCTTTATGCGTTTGTGTTCTCGTATTGGCATCCTTGGTGATATTTAGCGCCCTCTGATTATCCCGCACAGTTGATGGTGCTACATAGCCTTAACGGCTTGCTGCCTTCTTTTGATAATTACTTACTTACTTACAGTTTTTTGGGTAAATTATTAACATGATTGTGAAGTACAACTAAAAATGCAGAAAGTTTAACGAACAATAAGTCTGTACCTTAGGAACTTTGCCTTTGTTTTCCTGTGTGCGCTTCTCTATGTGATCCTTCAGCGTCTGCGGCATCTCCTCGGGCAGCTCCTCCAGGCGCTCGTACACCTCTGGCACCCAACCAATCATCTGAAATGGAATGGTTTAGCTAAAAGAAGGTCTCTCTCGTTGTGAAGCAAGCCATACGCTTTGTGATGCTCAACGGCACCCAGGCTGGACAAGCGACTCCAGAATATATGCTAAGATAATGTTCGTGTTTGTGTCTGTGTAAACACGTGAGTCACACATTTGTCACTGACTGGTGACTGCCCTTGGCCGAGGGGATGTTGTACAACATCCCCTCGGCCATCCCCATATGACATGTTTATGTATTGTGACTATCACTGCTTACCTGTCACTGCCTACCTGTCGGTGCTTACCTGTCACTGCCTACCTGTCAGTGCTTACCTGTCACTGCTTACCTGTCCGTTCTTACCTATCACCAAGCACCAACAGGTGACAGGCCTGTAAGCAGGAGAACCATAATCGTGTTTACATTCCTCTCTCGTGCTGTCTAGAGATTGGAGCATGCGCCTATCAGCTCCCAGAAAGTATGTGACAAGACCTTAAGTAAGTTAAGGGCTTTAGAGCACTCAACTCGGAGGTAGGAGATATGGGGCGACCAGGACAAGCAAGTGTCAAAGATTATCCCCAGACGTTTAGCTGAATCTGTATGCAAAAAAAGGATTTCTATAAAGCGACAAAAGGGGTTGAAGAACAACCTGCTTCCGAGTAAAGGTCATAGCACAAGTCTTAGTTGTAAAGAACTTGAAGACATGATTGGTGGTCCAAGACCACACGGCATCAATCGCAGGTTGAAGCGGTCGTTGGAGGGAAGGAGAGTCATCACCTTGACAGCAGAGGGAAAGATCTTCAACATAGAGAGCAGAGAAGACGCCAAAAGGAAGGGAGGAAAGAAGACCATTGAGGCCGGAACAACCGTGGACATCTTCAAGAGAAAACTCGACTGTTTTCTAAGAGAAGTTCTGGATCAGCCAGGCTGTGGTGGGTATGTGGGCCTGAGAGCCGCTCCAAGCAACAGCCTGGTGGACCAAACTCTCACAAGTCAAGCCTGGCCTCCGGCCGGGCTTGGGGAGTAGAAGAGCTCCCAGAACCCCATCAAGCAGGTATCAAGCAGGGCAACCCGTAAAAGATTGAACTCAGAACAGTACCTTGGGTGAGACCTTCGTCTCTTCACAAAGAGACCTTCGTATTGCCGAAAAGAAGCAGAGAGCGGGTACCAAGCCGCACTAAAGGAACGACTAGAGAGGAAACTTTGTAGGAAGAGAGGGAGATTACCACGAAGGTCAAAATAACGGAATTGGGACAGAATATGGTACCGCCAGGTGGTGTCGTACGCCTTTTCCAGGTCAAAAAGGACAGCAACAACGGAGGTCTTCGCAGCAAAGACAGTAAAAATAAAGACCTCCAAGTTCACGAGGACATCAGTCATGCTGTGACACTTGCAAAAACCAAATTAAGAAGTGGAGAGGTGGTGATAACGTTCCAAGAACCATATCAGACGGACATTGACTTTACGCTCAAAGAGTTTGCAGACGCAACTCAACAACGGGGCAGAAGTCTTTAGGGAATGACCCTAGAGAACCAGGTTTCCGAATATGAAGAACAATCGCCTCAAGTCAGTCCTCAGGGAGTAATGACAACTCCCAGACAAGGATATAAACACTGTAAATACTGAGACGTGTAGGGACGGCGATGGCGAAGTATCCCATAATGAATATCATCCGAGTCGCCGTAGAACTGCAGAGGGCCAGGACAGACTGGAGCTCTGAGAGAGAGAGAGAGAGAGAGAAATGAGAAAGAGAGAGAGAGAGAGAGAGAGAGAGAGAGAGAGAGAGAGAGAGAGAGAGAGAGAGAGAGAGAGAGAGAGAGAGAGACAGAGAGAGACAGAGAGAGAGACAGAGACAGAGACAGAGAGAGAGAGTGAGAGAGAAAGAGAGAGAGAGAGAGAGAGAGAGAGAGAGAGAGAGAGAGAGAGAGAGAGAGAGAGAGAGAGAGAGAGAGAGAGAGAGAGAGAGAGAGAGAGAGAGAGAGAGAGAGAGAGAGAGAGAGAGAGAGAGAGAGAGAGAGAGAGAGAGAGAGAGAGAGAGAGAGAGAGAGAGAGAGAGAGAGAGAGAGAGAGAGAGAGAGGGTGTGGGGGGGGGGGGAGAGGGGATCGTTACGGGGAAGGTGAAGATGAATGCGAAAATCTGAGAGATAAGAAAGTAAGGAAAGAAGGACAAAGATGAGAGTCGGAGCTAACAGTCGAAAAGTAAGAATCCAGTTCAGTCGCGACCGACACCGGATCTGCCACAACAGAACCACGGAGGTGAAGGACTGACGAGACTTCTGGAACAAACTTGCCTGCTATCTTGCAGATTTTCTTCCATATCTGCGTAAGACGGGTGTCAGTGGAAACGAGGAGTGAGGTGAAAACGAAAAATCTCCAACCTTCCTGCTGAGCCTTACGCTCTTACCTTCCGAAACAAAACAAAAGAATCGGGCGTCCGCTGGCGACAATGTTTCTTCCAGGCTGCACGCTTACAGCCAACAGCGCGAGCACAATCCGCATTCCACCAGGGAACGAACTTCCGCGTGCCCCAGGAGGTAGAGTGAAGAAACAGAGTGGAGAGCAGCGCCGAATACGGTGTCATGGAAAAGGAGGAGGGCCCGAGGGAGAGGCAGAGTGGAGAGATCTGAAAGGGTAGTGTATAGGATGAAGAGGTTCTAGTCAGCCTTGGCAAACTGCCACTTAGGGAAAGAGAGAGGATGGTGAAAAGAGAAAAGGCGATAAGGATGGGGAAATGGTAACAGTTATGGAAATCATCAAGAACCCCCCATGTGAAGTCCAAATAAAGAGAAGACGTACAGAGAGAGAGAGATAAAGACAGGAGAGGGGGCGAGTGCGATAGTCTACATGAGTGGGTTCGCCAGAATTCAGAAGAGACAGGGAAGGGGAGAGGACAAATGGTTCAAGAAGGCGGCCCCAGGTGTTCGTCAGAGCATCACTCTAGAGGGTATGCCGACAGTTGAAATCACCCAACAGGATCACCGGCTCTGGTAAGGAGTCCGGGAGGTGCTAAAGATCAGGAAGGGAAAGTAGGACAATTTTGGGGAGATAAACGGCAGAGAGACTGTACTGAGAGACCATATCTACTCACAAAGATATGGGCTGCAGAACACTGAATGGGCGACTGAAAAAGTAGGGGGACAAAGGGAATATCAAGACAGATCAAGAGAGGAGTAGAGTTATGGGGCCCTAGCAAGAGCCAGAGGAAGAGGGAGGGGGGGGGGAGAAAGGAACAACCATGGACGTGACCAGGATGAGCGCCAAACATCAGGTCCTGGAAACACAAAGTGGTCAAAATTCCATGATTAGAAGTTGGAGTTCATGGAAGTTGGCATAAAATACTCCATTGAAGAATAGACATAGATAAAAAGAGAGAGAACAGAAACAGAGATAACAAAGGCAAAGAAGAACACAGTAGACTAACATCATGATCAGTGAAATTGGGGTTACAGATCATAGGTCAAGTTATGCTCACAACTGTCTGTGAAGACTGGTCGTGAGAGCATTATGCCCACCTTCCCTGTTGAGAGTACATCTTTGGCTCGCCCGTCCTCGAGGGGCTGGTCACATTCTCTGGGAGGCCTAATTGTGCTTTGCTTGGGCAAGAGTCTCTCTCAAAGTCTATGCACCATTGGTCGATGGTGCCATATGTAGACCTAGCTTCAGTTTGATTGGATTTGTAGGATTAGGGGCGGAGCTACCGAAGGCATAAGTGCCTAAGGAGGCGGAGCCAGGAGATCATCTTGGGAGATGCTGTAGTTAAGTAATTTTAGTGTGAGTGGACTGCGTGTGGGATGAGGGGGCAGCACATCTAAGCCCCCGAAGAACACACATTAACAACTTGGTCACTGGGATAAGTTACAGGGTAATGCTACTGTAAACTGAGTCATGTACTTTTGGTCGTGTCCACATCAGCGCCCTTCCATTGTTCTCTGGGGTTTACTTTGTTTTTAGATAGAATTAATTGTTTCTGGAATAAACTGTTTATTGAATTTAGTAATTGAATTTTAGTAAACTTTTCCTAATATTCTTGAGCATATACCTTCCTTGAGGTTATCTTGAGATGATTTCGGGGCTTAGCGTCCCCGCGGCCCGGTCCTCGACTAAGCCTTTTTGTTACACCCCCCCCCCTCCCCAGGAAGCAGCCCGTAGCAGCTGTAACTCCCAGGAACCTATATACTGCTAGGTAACAGGGGCATGAGGGTGAAAGAAACTTTTTGCCCATTTGTCTCCCCCTCCACCGGGGATCGAACTCAGAACCTCAGGACTACGAACCCAAAAGCGCTATCCACTCAGCTGTCAGGCGCCCACCTTCAGTAGATGTATATTCCTATATGTCTATATATATTTTCAATTATATACATACATATATATACATACATATATATACATATATACATATACATATACATACATATATATATATATATATATATATATATATATATATATATATATATATATATATATATATATATATATATATATATATATATATATATATATATATATATATATATATATATATATAATATAATATCTTGAGTATATAAATTTACTCAAGGAATATATATACCTTGAGTATATGAATATATCTTGAGCAAGGTATATTCTTGATCATATACCTTAGAGTGCCTTTTGGAAATTTCCTATGATTCGCTAAGTGAGTTAACAACCCTCTGTAATTATCACCAAGAAGACTCAAGTAATCATCATTAGCATATAGCCTTTTTTCTTGTGATAATTATTGCATGTCCCTTATGGTCTCTGCCTGGGAGGCAGGGCTATTATTAGCACAATTAATTAATTAAGGAGTGGGGCATCAACAGGACAAAGCTGATCTCATCAAGACCTTTAACATAGTGAAGAAGTTGGAAGGTAAGCACACACACACATCGAGGCCCACCTTGTTGAACTTGATGAGGACGCACGGAGACTCGGTCTTGTAGCCCCAGCTCTCTGCTTTCTGACATTTATCAGTGAGCCAAGTGTCCAGGAACCTGCATACCTCTCCTTCCTTGGGCGGCTTGTCCTCCGAGCAGTCGGTTATGTGCTGCCCGGACACCACCTCACTCGTCGCCTCGTAAGCTAAGTGGTGAACAAACCAACAAGTTACTGCAAGGTACTGTAAAGTGGCAGTGTTGTCTACTGCAAGGTACTGTAAAGTGGTAGTGTTGTCTACTGCAAGGTACTGTAAAGTGGTAGTGTTGTCTACTGCAAGGTACTGTAAAGTGGTAGTGTTGTCTACTGCAAGGTACTGTAAAGTGGCAGTGTTGTCTACTGCAAGGTACTGTAAAGTGGTAGTGTTGTCTACTGCAAGGTACTGTAAAGTGGTAGTGTTGTCTACTGCAAGGTACTGTAAAGTGGCAGTGTTGTCTACTGCAAGGTACTGTAAAGTGGTAGTGTTGTCTACTGCAAGGTACTGTAAAGTGGTAGTGTTGTCTACTGCAAGGTTACGGATGGGAGGGGAGGGGAGGGGGGGGGCTGGCAATGTTGTGTGCTACAAGACTATGTGTGTGTGGGGGGGGGGCAGTAATGTATTTAGCTGAGGTCAAGACGCCATAGTTGACGGTGGCCAGGAACGTACCCTTGATGAAGTTGTTGAGGGAGTCGACCCAGTGTTTGATGCCCTCATCGTCGCCGCTCTTGTACCATATTAGTGTAGACTGGATGAAGTCGTGTGATGGCATGGGTCGGTAGCCCATGGCTAGAAATATACAAAAACTGAAGTTGTAAGTGATTTACAGTTTAGGATCAATGTAAGACCATGTATGTACACTTGACGGTGCGGACAATGGTATGTATGTTACATGTGCCTCAGTGCTGTACATGGAGGTCCCACACTACGACGCCCTATACATCTTGTGACCACTTTACCACCACCTTTTACCTTTCAATGCATTAAAAACCATTTAAAATAAAGTCATGTGGATAATTCTTGGTGCCTGAAGATACACTTAGGAGGACCTGCCACTTTCCACTATATATAGGGAAGAATTGTTCTACAACACTCTACACAGGGGTCACAACAGCTACAACACTCTACACAAGGGGTCACAACAGCTACAACACTCTACACAAGGGGTCACAACAGCCACAACACTCTACACAAGGGGTCACAACAGCTACAACACTCTACACAAGGGGTCACAACAGCTACAACACTCTACACAAGGGTCACAACAGCCACAACACTCTACACAAGGGGTCACAACAGCTACAACACTCTACACAAGGGGTCACAACAGCCACAACACTCTACACAAGGGGTCACAACAGCTACAACACTCTACACAAGGGGTCACAACAGCCACAACACTCTACACAAGGGGTCACAACAGCTACAACACTCTACACAAGGGGTCACAACAGCTACAACACTCTACACAGGGGTCACAACAGCTACAACACTCTACACAAGGGTCACAACAGCTACAACACTCTACACAAGGGGTCACAACAGCCACAACACTCTACACAAGGGGTCACAACAGCTACAACACTCTACACAAGGGGTCACAACAGCTACAACACTCTACACAAGGGGTCACAACAGCCACAACACTCTACACAAGGGGTCACAACAGCCACAACACTCTACACAAGGGGTCACAACAGCCACAACACTCTACACAAGGGGTCACAACAGCCACAACACTCTACACAAGGGGTCACAACAGCTACAACACTCTACACAAGGGGTCACAACAGCTACAACACTCTACACAAGGGTCACAACAGCTACAACACTCTACACAAGGGGTCACAACAGCCACAACACTCTACACAAGGGGTCACAACAGCTACAACACTCTACACAAGGGGTCACAACAGCTACAACACTCTACACAAGGGGTCACAACAGCCACAACACTCTACACAAGGGGTCACAACAGCCACAACACTCTACACAAGGGGTCACAACAGCCACAACACTCTACACAAGGGGTCACAACAGCCACAACACTCTACACAAGGGGTCACAACAGCCACAACACTCTACACAAGGGGTCACAACAGCCACAACACTCTACACAAGGGGTCACAACAGCCACAACACTCTACACAAGGGGTCACAACAGCCACAACACTCTACACAAGGGGTCACAACAGCCACAACACTCTACACAAGGGGTCACAACAGCTACAACACTCTACACAAGGGGTCACAACAGCTACAACACTCTACACAAGGGGTCACAACAGCCACAACACTCTACACAAGGGGTCACAACAGCTACAACACTCTACACAAGGGGTCACAACAGCCACAACACTCTACACAAGGGGTCACAACAGCTACAACACTCTACACAAGGGTCACAACAGCTACAACACTCTACACAAGGGTCACAACAGCTACAACACTCTACACAAGGGGTCACAACAGCTACAACACTCTACACAAGGGGTCACATCAGCCACAACACTCTACACAAGGGTCACAACAGCTACAACACTCTACACAAGGGGTTACAACAGCTACAACACTCTACACAAGGGGTTACAACAGCTACAACACTCTACACAAGGGGTCACAACAGCTACAACACTCTACACAAGGGTCACAACAGCTACAACACTCTACACAAGGGGTCACAACAGCCACAACACTCTACACAAGGGTCACAACAGCCACAACACTCTACACAAGGGGTCACAACAGCTACAACACTCTACACAAGGGGTCACAACAGCTACAACACTCTACACAAGGGGTTACAACAGCTACAACACTCTAAACAAGGGGTCACAACAGCTACAACACTCTACACAAGGGGTCACAACAGCTACAACACTCTACACAAGGGGTCACAACAGCCACAACACTCTACACAAGGGGTTACAACAGCTACAACACTCTACACAAGGGTCACAACAGCTACAACACTCTACACAAGGGTCACAACAGCTACAACACACTACACAAGGGTCACAACAGCTACAACACTCTACACAAGGGGTCACAACAGCTACAACACTCTACACAAGGGTCACAACAGCTACAACACTCTACACAAGGGGTCACAACAGCTACAACACTACACAAGGGGTTACAACAGCTACAACACTCTACACAAGGGGTCACAACAGCTACAACACTCTACACAAGGGGTCACAACAGCTACAACACTCTACACAAGGGGTCACAACAGCTACAACACTCTACACAAGGGGTTACAACAGCTACAACACCCTACACAAGGGGTCACAACAGCCACAACACTCTACACAAGGGGTCACAACAGCTACAACACTCTACACAAGGGGTCACAACAGCCACAACACTCTACACAAGGGGTCACAACAGCTACAACACCCTACACAAGGGGTCACAACAGCCACAACACTCTACACAAGGGGTCACAACAGCTACAACACCCTACACAAGGGGTCACAACAGCCACAACACTCTACACAAGGGTCACAACAGCTACAACACTCTACACAAGGGGTCACAACAGCCACAACACTCTACACAAGGGGTCACAACAGCTACAACACCCTACACAAGGGGTCACAACAGCTACAACACTACACAAGGGGTTACAACAGCTACAACACTCTACACAAGGGGTCACAACAGCTACAACACTCTACACAAGGGGTCACAACAGCTACAACACTCTACACAAGGGGTCACAACAGCTACAACACTCTACACAAGGGGTTACAACAGCTACAACACCCTACACAAGGGGTCACAACAGCCACAACACTCTACACAAGGGGTCACAACAGCTACAACACTCTACACAAGGGGTCACAACAGCCACAACACTCTACACAAGGGGTCACAACAGCTACAACACCCTACACAAGGGGTCACAACAGCCACAACACTCTACACAAGGGGTCACAACAGCTACAACACCCTACACAAGGGGTCACAACAGCCACAACACTCTACACAAGGGTCACAACAGCTACAACACTCTACACAAGGGGTCACAACAGCCACAACACTCTACACAAGGGGTCACAACAGCTACAACACCCTACACAAGGGGTCACAACAGCTACAACACCCTACACAAGGGGTCACAACAGCTACAACACCCTACACAAGGGGTCACAACAGCCACAACACTCTACACAAGGGTCACAACAGCTACAACACTCTACACATGGGGTCACAACAGCTACAACACTCTACACAAGGGGTCACAACAGCTACAACACTACACAAGGGGTTACAACAGCTACAACACTCTACACAAGGGGTCACAACAGCTACAACACTCTACACAAGGGGTCACAACAGCTACAACACTCTACACAAGGGGTCACAACAGCTACAACACTCTACACAAGGGGTTACAACAGCTACAACACCCTACACAAGGGGTCACAACAGCCACAACACTACACAAGGGGTCACAACAGCTACAACACTCTACACAAGGGGTCACAACAGCCACAACACTCTACACAAGGGGTCACAACAGCTACAACACCCTACACAAGGGGTCACAACAGCCACAACACTCTACACAAGGGGTCACAACAGCTACAACACCCTACACAAGGGGTCACAACAGCCACAACACTCTACACAAGGGTCACAACAGCTACAACACTCTACACAAGGGGTCACAACAGCCACAACACTCTACACGAGGGGTCACAACAGCTACAACACCCTACACAAGGGGTCACAACAGCTACAACACCCTACACAAGGGGTCACAACAGCTACAACACCCTACACAAGGGGTCACAACAGCCACAACACTCTACACAAGGGTCACAACAGCTACAACACTCTACACAAGGGGTCACAACAGCTACAACACTCTAAACAAGGGGTCACAACAGCTACAACACTCTACACAAGGGGTCACAACAGCTACAACACTCTACACAAGGGGTCACAACAGCCACAACACTCTACACAAGGGGTTACAACAGCTACAACACTCTACACAAGGGTCACAACAGCTACAACACTCTACACAAGGGTCACAACAGCTACAACACACTACACAAGGGGTCACAACAGCTACAACACTCTACACAAGGGGTCACAACAGCTACAACACTCTACACAAGGGTCACAACAGCTACAACACTCTACACAAGGGGTCACAACAGCTACAACACTACACAAGGGGTTACAACAGCTACAACACTCTACACAAGGGGTCACAACAGCTACAACACTCTACACAAGGGGTCACAACAGCTACAACACTCTACACAAGGGGTCACAACAGCTACAACACTCTACACAAGGGGTTACAACAGCTACAACACCCTACACAAGGGGTCACAACAGCCACAACACTCTACACAAGGGGTCACAACAGCTACAACACTCTACACAAGGGGTCACAACAGCCACAACACTCTACACAAGGGGTCACAACAGCTACAACACCCTACACAAGGGGTCACAACAGCCACAACACTCTACACAAGGGGTCACAACAGCTACAACACCCTACACAAGGGGTCACAACAGCCACAACACTCTACACAAGGGTCACAACAGCTACAACACTCTACACAAGGGGTCACAACAGCCACAACACTCTACACAAGGGGTCACAACAGCTACAACACCCTACACAAGGGGTCACAACAGCTACAACACTACACAAGGGGTTACAACAGCTACAACACTCTACACAAGGGGTCACAACAGCTACAACACTCTACACAAGGGGTCACAACAGCTACAACACTCTACACAAGGGGTCACAA